ACACGCAAAACCGAATCTTCCCAAACAACGATTTGACTACAATAGCGGTTCTTTATTGAATAATACACAAAATTTAGTTACAAACCTCAACTTGTGAGGTGTCTGGGGCGTTTAAACGCGCCCTTCAAGTATGAAATAAAAAGGCTTCCTGTAACAGTAACATTAAGAATAATTACAACATTCGATAGTACAAAGAACAGCTGATAGCTGTCTAACCGAAACCCGAACCAATAGCAAAACAATATGGAAACTTTTGCGTTTAAACAAATGCACAAAACTGTGGATAACCACTACAGCGATTAAGGTACAGTGATTATAATGACAAGTACAATGATAAGTACAATAAACATAAGTATATGTGAACATTTCAAAGTATTACACTACAACTTGCGTTACAACATGAGTTTAAAAATTGTTAGGAATACAACTGCTTACTCAATGTAAATAAGTAGTATAAAACAATATACAAAAGAGTGGAAAGGGAGCGAGTAGGAACAAAGACTTAACAGGTTAACTTTTCTCTTAAATATAATTTCAACATAAATCCCATTAGATATTACTTAGTAAAAATGATGTCCAATTTAAACTGATATCACCTGAGCAACTTATGATAGATAACTGAATTTGATACCGTACAATTTTGATCTAATACGAAATCTGTGGGTTAAAAACCGTTAATAATTTGGGTTTTCTCAGGAAAATTCTTATTTAAAGTTCTTCTTTTTGTGTTTTACAACAGGTTTGTCTACAAATGTCAAAATGTGTTTGTCATGTATACGGTATATTATACCTACTTTTAAAAAGTAAACAGTCGAATTAAATAATAGAAATATCGGCATAACGAAATGTTTGATATCAGATGTCGTGACTAGAGGAGCTAATCTGTGTCAGGTAGAAACATGTATCAACCTCATTACAATGGAAGATGGTTGCACAATTTCGTGGATTGGTTGAATTTGGACATTAACACCGTTGGATGCAGGCTCACTGGTCTAGAGTTTAAGTGTTCGCCTGTGAGACCGATGACCCTGGGTCCGAGTCCCGTGAGTGGTATTGTGGATGCGCAGTGATGAAGAGTCCCGCAATAGGACAAAACAGCCGTCCAGTGTCCCCAGATTTCGAATGGTGGTCTAACATCAATCGGTTCATGCTCTCAACAAGAAAAATTGTATCTTAACCCATTTTCAATGAAATTACACAAATTCCATCATTTAGTGTAAATCTTAATGATTATATATTCATTTCTATTCTAGAGTTCCTCATAACCATCTGTTACGACCATATCCAGTAAAGCACTAACGGATGAAAAATATACATATAGTACAAGTTGAAATATGATGTGAAATTCCTACAATTTAATTTATGAACCGATTTTAGCTGTTTTGTCTTAGTACATGACTCTTCACCAGTGCGTATTCAAGACCACGCTACAAGTTTTAGCCAAGATCATTTTGCATTTTAAAACATTAGTATTTAAAAATCTCCACAAAACCCTATGCTGATGAAATTTATAGTTAAATTTACAGAACTCACCCTTTAAATTGATGGAAAAACGACACAGATTTCAGAGGTAGCCCTACACCTCGTGAGAAAAAAAACATTGGGGATAACTTCGGTCTGAATTGTCTTACATGATTTTTAAATGAAGTTAAATGAAATCTAGTTGGATTTTAATATTGATCAATCGTTAAACGATTATTTATCCTTGGAATCTTAAGACAATATCATTAAAATAATCATAATTATTGTTCACTATTAGGTCATTAACTAATATCGTCCCATTTGTGCTTCTAATATGTTCATGTCATCCCTTAATTATATAGTTATGTAATCAAAGATATCTTGACGTAAATTTAATGGACACAAATTGTCGTTTCGACTTAGGTTTGTCATTGTGATGTTAGTTGCTATGGTCATACTGAAAATTCTTTATTTAGATATAATCTGTTATTACCTGATCGTAGGTACTACCTTGATGTGGTGGTTGAGTTTTCCTACCGTGATGACTGAACCGAACTATATTGGCTAGAACACATGTTTTTTTAGGTCCTACCATGCCAGACAGGTCAGCTGGAGAAAGGCAGGAATAAAAGCAGCAACTTATATCCGGAGGGCGGAATCGTATTACTGACTGTTGAAGTGTGTGACAGCAGTAAAATGTTTCCATCGGATAACTATCCCCACGCACCATCAATGAAAATGATTTGAGTGCACGAAATGCTATTTTTGAAATCCTGAAACGACGATCTAAACTATATTTTAGAGCTTTGAATGTTCAAACCTTGTGTTAGATAGGACAATAGGCTTCTTTAGCTAGGATTCTAGAATCTCTCACCATCGATATGTGCTTCATCTCCGAAACTTGCATACAGTATCTAAGTAGGATCATTCATTTGACCTCAATTTATCAATCTAAAAAGTGGTACAACTTACTCTTCAAGAATCTGGAAACCCTACTATTCTTTGTAACGGCCTCTCTGGTATGGTTATAACACTAAATTCATGTGTAGAACAGGCTCCTTCAGACCGAATACCAAAAGACAGCCTCTTGTGCATTGTCCGACTAAACAGGACGGTAAGAATTCGAAAAGTTAGGGACATATGCCGTTACATTTTAGTTGTCTCTGTTTACACTCACACTGATACCAGCTCGGATGAAGTTAAAGAGGAATTTTACAGAAAGCTATTCAACGTCCTTCATAAAGCTAATATCTTTAAAGTAGTACTTGTAGCGCGTGATTTTAATGCCCAAATAAACAGGTCAAACCAAACAGAAAGGCATTTAGGCGGATCATATGGTGTTGCAACTCAGTGGACAGATCATGCTGATCGTCTGCTGTAACTACTATTTGGACGTGATCAAACCATCCAGCTCAGAGAACAAAAATTTAACGTAGGCCAAAGAGGACAGATCAATCTGTTGGGTGGCGATAATTAGATATTTTTTCATCAAACACCTCGGAGTAGAAACAAGTTTATTATTTGCACAACAAATAACATAACCAAGCTTAAGAAATTTGTGTCGATTACAAAAGCTAAGGTAAAGCTTTTGAATTCTCTTTATTATTAGTGACACAGAATCTTTAAATTAGCCTTAGTTAAAAAAAAGTCATGTCTAAGATGTTGAAACAATCGGAAAACACACTACACGAAGTATGAACATGATGCGAAAATAAGCATTTCGATTACTGTGGATGCCGCACTACTAAGGGTCCCATACTAGGACGAAACGGCCGTCCAGTGCTTCCAGGTATTCCATGGTGGTCTAGCTTCAACTGACCCATGAATTCAACTAATGAATGAATCATAGTCCCTAAAATATGAATTAGCTTTTGATTGACAGATAAGATATGAAGAAAAATATAAAATAATTTACTAACTACTAGTAAGTAATATGATTGTCATTTGTTCCATAATCGAGTCATTTATAGCTGGGGTCTTGTGTAACACGCATATTCGTTACTATTAATAAATTCACGAACCACTGTAATGCCTTTTCATAATTAAGTTTAGAAATAACGTTGAAGGTTAAGAAACCTTAAGAAATTCTAGAAATTTCATCACTGATTTAAGTAGTTAGTTCAAAACACCCACACTTTAAAGAAGTTTGGATAGATTCCATTGAAATCTTCAATTCAAGACAATTAAAAACCATTTAACATTATAAATAGTATTCAGAATGAACATCATAGTAATGTACACTGACAATAGCTGACATACCTTCAATATGTAGGTATAAATAAATGTCGAGTTATATGTAAATATATAAGATGTATATCGACAAAAACTTCGACAGAATTGATCAATAAAAAACAGTCGATAAGGGTTCTTTATAAAATTACAATATACCTAACAGGATTTTAGAATTTAGTTCAAATTAACTAAGACTTCTAATCATTTCTATCTAACTCATTAGTAACTTCAGACAAGATTATTCGTTCCTGCCATCTCTCAGCAGATTTACTACATAAGATATTACGGATATATATATATATATATATATATATATATATATATCACATTCTTGTGTAATTGAACACTGTAACATTCTCCGCTGTTTCAAACATCGTCATCATCATCTTCATCATTCGACTGAGTTGGGAAATGTTATTTCAGAGGAAATGAGTATCGCTCGTGCCACAATGAGCTGGATCCACTTGATCTTATCTACTCGAAATCTCTCATGTTCATAATAACCAATTCTGTGAAAAATCATTCAATTCAGATATATCACAAGTGATTATTACTTTCCATCATCCTACTACCATTATTACATGAAATATTGGATGAGATATGATAGATGAGAGAGTGTGTGACGTAATCCTTTACAAGCAACTTGTGTTGATTATTTTCAAACTTGTAGAACGACTAAAACAACTTGGTCGTAATTAAATCACTGAAGTGGTCTAGTCAAGAGCATTGTGTTTCTCTCAATTTATTATTATGTCCTCATAAAATTCCATTTTAAAATATGTAATATTCTAGACGAGTGGTGTGTACTTGTCAGTGATTATAATAATAGTGATAATAACAGTTACAGAGATTTGGTGGATGCAAAACTCTTACAATGTCTATGATGGTTAAGTTGTGACTCAGTTAGAAACTTTTCAAACAATGATAATGTGAATGAAGCTTATTATATTAAGAACAACCATAATGTAGGTCAAAACTCATGTATAATCAATGAAATGAATATGTTCTATAACAAAGAAGCAAATAAACAAACAGACGAAGTATAATAATGGGGAGGAGATCTATTGTTTAAGAAACCAATATGGAACATGTGTCAAACGATATTCTAGGAAAGTTTGTTCAAGAGAACCACTACACAATGTGTTCTGGGAGAATTTCCGTGGATAAAATCTCTAGGATATATAAATTTATGGAAAATATGGACATATCAAATATTATTATTATATGACTTCAATGGTGTTTATCAATATTATATATCACAATATTTATCTTAATGCGAGACAGCCCCAAACATTTAGTGATATATCTTACCTGTTTTCATAGTTAGTTCTTTGTGCTTTACAAAATTCATCAGTACATGATCGTTTTACCGTAGTTTGTAGAGCTTTAAGAAAAAAGATTAATCAAATATTGTATATTAGAAATAGTAAAATATAATGAGTGATTTTGTAAATTCGCATATTCACTTATCAAGTTTAGTTAACTTACATTTATCACACTGTAAATACTGTTCATTTGATCTAGATAATGCTGCATCTTCGATACTGAATCGTCTTTTCATACCAGGAACTGTACAAATTTTAGTTCGTTTACATGTAGAATATTGATATTCTGTAAACGTAACAGGAATATTTTCCGTCATTCTAGATCCTACTAAACGACTTTTAGTCTGATTCCAGAGTTTTGTTTCTTCATGACATGAATTATTTTGAATAACAATTGGTTGATTTCTCTTTTCTGTAATCCTAACAAAAATTAAGAAATATATATGAAAAATAAATCAATGTTTATAATCAGAGAAGGGTTTTTATGGATTATAGTAATTTAATAGTTGAATTCATGAGTCAATTGAAACTAGACCATCATGGAAAACCTGGAAGCACTGGATGGCCGTTTCGTCCTAGTATGGGACGCCTCAGCAGTGCGCATCCACGATCCTGCCTCGTGAGATTCGAACCCAGGACCTACCAGTCGCGCGAGCAAGCGCTTAAGCACTAGACCACAATGTAACAATGTATTTTAAACTTTGTTAGAAATATTCGCTGAATTTCAATTTCTCTATCCTAACAGTTTGTATAACCATTACTATTTTATTGTTGTAACCATTTATTAAGTTGCATGATCTCTCAATCCACTGATATTTGTTGCATCTAGATGTTTACAATAAAATGCAGCATGGCAACATATTCTCTAATGTAGATTAACATTTAGTTAATATCATCATTAAAAGTTTAAATAACTCAGTGAACTGCATTAAACTTAACATTTATTAGGATAATTCACTATAAAACTACTTCTGCATCCATCAACATCACTAGGTGGTTAGTGTATGATAAATATACAATTATGTAATGATATATTGAATCGTGGACGCGCACTGCTGAGGAGTCACATACTAGGACGAAATGGGCCGTCCAGTGCTTCCAGGTTTTCCATGATGGTCTGACTTCAATTGACTCATGATTTCAATCTGTGAAATTTCTAATATCTCCACAAACCCCTTCTGATATATTGAATCGTTTATTAAATGAGCGATATATTTTCTTATTAGTTTTCGATTAATTCATCATTTATATTATCGATTTGATTCTTGTAAGCATTTCAACATTATTTAATGCTTTTTGGTACATAATGTCTTTCATAACATTACTTCAATATGTCCATAATATACTGAAATAACTATTGAATAGCAAACTAAGTGTATCACTAATCGGACTACTATAACTTATATTACATAACTAAGGATGAGTTACAAAACCTCAGTGATATTGAGTCACATGTCATTGTTTTAAATGAATAGGGCTCTCTATTGTATTATGCTTGGGTTACATAGTTAGCATAACTGAGGTTAGTTAGAATGCTTTGATATATTGTATTGATATATTAAAGCTAATCACTCATCAATACCGGTTCCATTAATGGTTAAATTGTAGTTTATCCTACTTCAATAGGTAAAACTTCAGAGAAAGTATAAGTACACTTACTCTTCAAATTGACATATATTATTGTCCTTTGCATTATGCAGTGGATGTTTAGCTTTTATTGGTTGTCTCATTGTTGGCATCATTCGATTCAATAAAGTTTGTCTTTTGGGTTTAAATGCATTTTGATTATTATTCTCCTCTTTTTCTAACAAACGTTCACAAGGTAAGGCTGGATATGGTTTCAACAATTCTTTTCCACTGTAATTATTAACTACCACAGCCTCATCAACACTAGTAGGACGAATTTTGTCTGTAATAATATTGGAATCATTTTCGCAGGACAAATTAAAATCGTTGACTTTTCTATACTTGAAATGTAGTAGCCCCATACATGGAGTTAGGGGATACCGACGTATTATCTGTGGTTGGTTTGTCAAATCCGTACAATTTTTTTGACTGTCAGGTACAATGCAACAATTAGCGGTTTTCTTCTCAGTACCAGTAAAAACTGTATGAATTTCAATAGTCATTTCACCTAAATATATAACGAATAAAAATTAGTAGTGGATTATTTCAATCGAATACAGAATCCGTAATCTAATTGAAAACTTTAATACACGTCTATTTGAAACTAATTTAATTTCATAAAAATGTATGATGTAAAATATCTTCACAGTGAATGTAAGTGATGATTCTATGCTTGATATCATTCTTATGGCGTAAAGCAAAACTGTTCTGCATATAATATCGGTGTGACCATTGTGAAGCATCTTGAATAAAAGGAAGCTGATTATATCAATACATATATATAATACGAGTATATGGAAATGTCTGAGCCTTAGAGAAGTAATGCGTACATTAACTGCCTACCACAATAATTCAGATGCTAATGAGAAAAAAACTGAGAAATATTTAGTTGTTAATGCATAACAGAATTAAATAAGTCGATTACGAGAATGAAGTTTTGAATACATATATTTGTTATACTCATAGATATTGACAGACAATTAGAGGGACGAAGCGAAATGACGCTCACTGGAGAAGGCACATAAGCTAACTCGATTTAACCAAGCGTTAATCGATATTAAGTTACAGACATGTGATGAATAGGAAAAGAAATGTACACACATGCGCTGATATAAAAACAGTCGAGGTTGATAAGTGAATAGTTAATAAAGTCAAAATGTGATTCCAGAAGAATGAATAAATTGGCCTGTCCGGAAGCATGCATGCAATATCCATAACATAGTGAACATTATTATTTTCACTATCAACCCACTCAGAAACTCTTTCGTCAATCCTACATTTATTATATCACTATTGTCTTCTATATCGAATTTTTCTGCAACTGCATCATTCTCCACTACAAGCAACTTGTGTTGATTATTTTCAACCCTGTAGAACGACTAAGAAATCTTGGTCGTAATTAAATCACTGAAGTGGTCTAGTCAAGAGCATTGTGTTTCTCTCAATTTATTATCATGTCCTCATAAAATTCCATTTGTAAATATGTAATATTCTAGACGAGTGGTGTGTACTTGTCAGTGATTATAATAATAGCGATAATAACAGTTAGAGAGATTTGGTGGATGCAAAACTCTTACAATGTCTATGATGGTTAGGTTGTGACTCAGTCAGAAACTTTTCGAACAATGATAATGTGAATGAAGCTTATTATATTAAGAACAACCATAATGTAGGTGAAAACTCATGTATAATCAATGAAATGAATATGTTCTATAACAAAGAAGCAAATAAACAAACAGACGAAGTATAATAATGGGGAGGAGATCTATTGTTTAAGAAACCAATATGGAACATGTGTCAAACGATATTCTAGGAAAGTTTGTTCAAGAGAACCACTACACAATGTGTTCTGGGAGAATTTCCGTGGATAAAATCTCTAGGATATATAAATTTATGGAAAATATGGACATATCAAATATTATTATTATATGACTTCAATGGTGTTTATCAATATTATATATCACAATATTTATCTTAATGCGAGACAGCCCCAAACATTTAGTGATATATCTTACCTGTTTTCATAGTTAGTTCTTTGTGCTTTACAAAATTCATCAGTACATGATCGTTTTACCGTAGTTTGTAGAGCTTTAAGAAAAAAGATTAATCAAATATTGTATATTAGAAATAGTAAAATATAATGAGTGATTTTGTAAATTCGCATATTCACTTATCAAGTTTAGTTAACTTACATTTATCACACTGTAAATACTGTTCATTTGATCTAGATAATGCTGCATCTTCGATACTGAATCGTCTTTTCATACCAGGAACTGTACAAATTTTAGTTCGTTTACATGTAGAATATTGATATTCTGTAAACGTAACAGGAATATTTTCCGTCATTCTAGATCCTACTAAACGACTTTTAGTCTGATTCCAGAGTTTTGTTTCTTCATGACATGAATTATTTTGAATAACAATTGGTTGATTTCTCTTTTCTGTAATCCTAACAAAAATTAAGAAATATATATGAAAAATAAATCAATGTTTATAATCAGAGAAGGGTTTTTATGGATTATAGTAATTTAATAGTTGAATTCATGAGTCAATTGAAACTAGACCATCATGGAAAACCTGGAAGCACTGGATGGCCGTTTCGTCCTAGTATGGGACGCCTCAGCAGTGCGCATCCACGATCCTGCCTCGTGAGATTCGAACCCAGGACCTACCAGTCGCGCGAGCAAGCGCTTAAGCACTAGACCACAATGTAACAATGTATTTTAAACTTTGTTAGAAATATTCGCTGAATTTCAATTTCTCTATCCTAACAGTTTGTATAACCATTACTATTTTATTGTTGTAACCATTTATTAAGTTGCATGATCTCTCAATCCACTGATATTTGTTGCATCTAGATGTTTACAATAAAATGCAGCATGGCAACATATTCTCTAATGTAGATTAACATTTAGTTAATATCATCATTAAAAGTTTAAATAACTCAGTGAACTGCATTAAACTTAACATTTATTAGGATAATTCACTATAAAACTACTTCTGCATCCATCAACATCACTAGGTGGTTAGTGTATGATAAATATACAATTATGTAATGATATATTGAATCGTGGACGCGCACTGCTGAGGAGTCACATACTAGGACGAAATGGGCCGTCCAGTGCTTCCAGGTTTTCCATGATGGTCTGACTTCAATTGACTCATGATTTCAATCTGTGAAATTTCTAATATCTCCACAAACCCCTTCTGATATATTGAATCGTTTATTAAATGAGCGATATATTTTCTTATTAGTTTTCGATTAATTCATCATTTATATTATCGATTTGATTCTTGTAAGCATTTCAACATTATTTAATGCTTTTTGGTACATAATGTCTTTCATAACATTACTTCAATATGTCCATAATATACTGAAATAACTATTGAATAGCAAACTAAGTGTATCACTAATCGGACTACTATAACTTATATTACATAACTAAGGATGAGTTACAAAACCTCAGTGATATTGAGTCACATGTCATTGTTTTAAATGAATAGGGCTCTCTATTGTATTATGCTTGGGTTACATAGTTAGCATAACTGAGGTTAGTTAGAATGCTTTGATATATTGTATTGATATATTAAAGCTAATCACTCATCAATACCGGTTCCATTAATGGTTAAATTGTAGTTTATCCTACTTCAATAGGTAAAACTTCAGAGAAAGTATAAGTACACTTACTCTTCAAATTGACATATATTATTGTCCTTTGCATTATGCAGTGGATGTTTAGCTTTTATTGGTTGTCTCATTGTTGGCATCATTCGATTCAATAAAGTTTGTCTTTTGGGTTTAAATGCATTTTGATTATTATTCTCCTCTTTTTCTAACAAACGTTCACAAGGTAAGGCTGGATATGGTTTCAACAATTCTTTTCCACTGTAATTATTAACTACCACAGCTTCATCAACAATAGTAGGACGAATTTTGTCTGTAATAATATTGGAATCATTTTCGCAGGACAAATTAAAATCGTTGACTTTTCTATACTTGAAATGTAGTAGCCCCATACATGGAGTTAGGGGATACCGACGTATTATCTGTGGTTGGTTTGTCAAATCCGTACAATTTTTTTGACTGTCAGGTACAATGCAACAATTAGCGGTTTTCTTCTCAGTACCAGTAAAAACTGTATGAATTTCAATAGTCATTTCACCTAAATATATAACGAATAAAAATTAGTAGTGGATTATTTCAATCGAATACAGAATCCGTAATCTAATTGAAAACTTTAATACACGTCTATTTGAAACTAATTTAATTTCATAAAAATGTATGATATAAAATATCTCCACAGTGAATGTAAGTGATGATTCTATGCTTGATATCATTCTTATGGCGTAAAGCAAAACTGTTCTGCATATAATATCGGTGTGACCATTGTGAAGCATCTTGAATAAAAGGAAGCTGATTATATCAATACATATATATAATACAAGTATATGGAAATATCTGAGCCTTAGAGAAGTAATGCGTACATTAACTGCCTACCACAATAATTCAGATGCTAATGAGAAAAAAACTGAGAAATATTTAGTTGTTAATGCATAACAGAATTAAATAAGTCGATTACGAGAATGAAGTTTTGAATACATATATTTGTTATACTCATAGATATTGACAGACAATTAGAGGGACGAAGCGAAATGACGCTCACTGGAGAAGGCACATAAGCTAACTCGATTTAACCAAGCGTTAATCGATATTAAGTTACAGACATGTGATGAATAGGAAAAGAAATGTACACACATGCGCTGATATAAAAACAGTCGAGGTTGATAAGTGAATAGTTAATAAAGTCAAAATGTGATTCCAGAAGAATGAATAAATTGGCCTGTCCGGAAGCATGCATGCAATATCCATAACATAGTGAACATTATTATTTTCACTATCAACCCACTCAGAAACTCTTTCGTCAATCCTACATTTATTATATCACTATTGTCTTCTATATCGAATTTTTCTGCAACTGCATCATTCTCCACTACAAGCAACTTGTGTTGATTATTTTCAACCCTGTAGAACGACTAAGAAATCTTGGTCGTAATTAAATCACTGAAGTGGTCTAGTCAAGAGCATTGTGTTTCTCTCAATTTATTATCATGTCCTCATAAAATTCCATTTGTAAATATGTAATATTCTAGACGAGTGGTGTGTACTTGTCAGTGATTATAATAATAGCGATAATAACAGTTAGAGAGATTTGGTGGATGCAAAACTCTTACAATGTCTATGATGGTTAGGTTGTGACTCAGTCAGAAACTTTTCGAACAATGATAATGTGAATGAAGCTTATTATATTAAGAACAACCATAATGTAGGTGAAAACTCATGTATAATCAATGAAATGAATATGTTCTATAACAAAGAAGCAAATAAACAAACAGACGAAGTATAATAATGGGGAGGAGATCTATTGTTTAAGAAACCAATATGGAACATGTGTCAAACGATATTCTAGGAAAGTTTGTTCAAGAGAACCACTACACAATGTGTTCTGGGAGAATTTCCGTGGATAAAATCTCTAGGATATATAAATTTATGGAAAATATGGACATATCAAATATTATTATTATATGACTTCAATGGTGTTTATCAATATTATATATCACAATATTTATCTTAATGCGAGACAGCCCCAAACATTTAGTGATATATCTTACCTGTTTTCATAGTTAGTTCTTTGTGCTTTACAAAATTCATCAGTACATGATCGTTTTACCGTAGTTTGTAGAGCTTTAAGAAAAAAGATTAATCAAATATTGTATATTAGAAATAGTAAAATATAATGAGTGATTTTGTAAATTCGCATATTCACTTATCAAGTTTAGTTAACTTACATTTATCACACTGTAAATACTGTTCATTTGATCTAGATAATGCTGCATCTTCGATACTGAATCGTCTTTTCATACCAGGAACTGTACAAATTTTAGTTCGTTTACATGTAGAATATTGATATTCTGTAAACGTAACAGGAATATTTTCCGTCATTCTAGATCCTACTAAACGACTTTTAGTCTGATTCCAGAGTTTTGTTTCTTCATGACATGAATTATTTTGAATAACAATTGGTTGATTTCTCTTTTCTGTAATCCTAACAAAAATTAAGAAATATATATGAAAAATAAATCAATGTTTATAATCAGAGAAGGGTTTTTATGGATTATAGTAATTTAATAGTTGAATTCATGAGTCAATTGAAACTAGACCATCATGGAAAACCTGGAAGCACTGGACGGCCGTTTCGTCCTAGTATGGGACGCCTCAGCAGTGCGCATCCACGATCCTGCCTCGTGAGATTCGAACCCAGGACCTACCAGTCGCGCGAGCAAGCGCTTAAGCACTAGACCACAATGTAACAATGTATTTTAAACTTTGTTAGAAATATTCGCTGAATTTCAATTTCTCTATCCTAACAGTTTGTATAACCATTACTATTTTATTGTTGTAACCATTTATTAAGTTGCATGATCTCTCAATCCACTGATATTTGTTGCATCTAGATGTTTACAATAAAATGCAGCATGGCAACATATTCTCTAATGTAGATTAACATTTAGTTAATATCATCATTAAAAGTTTAAATAACTCAGTGAACTGCATTAAACTTAACATTTATTAGGATAATTCACTATAAAACTACTTCTGCATCCATCAACATCACTAGGTGGTTAGTGTATGATAAATATACAATTATGTAATGATATATTGAATCGTGGACGCGCACTGCTGAGGAGTCACATACTAGGACGAAATGGGCCGTCCAGTGCTTCCAGGTTTTCCATGATGGTCTGACTTCAATTGACTCATGATTTCAATCTGTGAAATTTCTAATATCTCCACAAACCCCTTCTGATATATTGAATCGTTTATTAAATGAGCGATATATTTTCTTATTAGTTTTCGATTAATTGATCATTTATATTATCGATTTGATTCTTGTAAGCATTTCAACATTATTTAATGCTTTTTGGTACATAATGTCTTTCATAACATTACTTCAATATGTCCATAATATACTGAAATAACTATTGAATAGCAAACTAAGTGTATCACTAATCGGACTACTATAACTTATATTACATAACTAAGGATGAGTTACAAAACCTCAGTGATATTGAGTCACATGTCATTGTTTTAAATGAATAGGGCTCTCTATTGTATTATGCTTGGGTTACATAGTTAGCATAACTGAGGTTAGTTAGAATGCTTTGATATATTGTATTGATATATTAAAGCTAATCACTCATCAATACCGGTTCCATTAATGGTTAAATTGTAGTTTATCCTACTTCAATAGGTAAAACTTCAGAGAAAGTATAAGTACACTTACTCTTCAAATTGACATATATTATTGTCCTTTGCATTATGCAGTGGATGTTTAGCTTTTATTGGTTGTCTCATTGTTGGCATCATTCGATTCAATAAAGTTTGTCTTTTGGGTTTAAATGCATTTTGATTATTATTCTCCTCTTTTTCTAACAAACGTTCACAAGGTAAGGCTGGATATGGTTTCAACAATTCTTTTCCACTGTAATTATTAACTACCACAGCTTCATCAACAATAGTAGGACGAATTTTGTCTGTAATAATATTGGAATCATTTTCGCAGGACAAATTAAAATCGTTGACTTTTCTATACTTGAAATGTAGTAGCCCCATACATGGAGTTAGGGGATACCGACGTATTATCTGTGGTTGGTTTGCCAAATCCGTACAATTTTTTTGACTGTCAGGTACAACGCAACAATTAGCGGTTTTCTTCTCAGTACCAGTAAAAACTGTATGAATTTCAATAGTCATTTCACCTAAATATATAACGAATAAAAATTAGTAGTGGATTATTTCAATCGAATACAGAATCCGTAATCTAATTGAAAACTTTAATACACGTCTATTTGAAACTAATTTAATTTCATAAAAATGTATGATATAAAATATCTCCACAGTGAATGTAAGTGATGATTCTATGCTTGATATCATTCTTATGGCGTAAAGCAAAACTGTTCTGCATATAATATCGGTGTGACCATTGTGAAGCATCTTGAATAAAAGGAAGCTGATTATATCAATACATATATATAATACAAGTATATGGAAATATCTGAGCCTTAGAGAAGTAATGCGTACATTAACTGCCTACCACAATAATTCAGATGCTAATGAGATAAAAACTGAGAAATATTTAGTTGTTAATGCATAACAGAATTAAATAAGTCGATTACGAGAATGAAGTTTTGAATACATATATTTGTTATACTCATAGATATTGACAGACAATTAGAGGGACGAAGCGAAATGACGCTCACTGGAGAAGGCACATAAGCTAACTCGATTTAACCAAGCGTTAATCGATATTAAGTTACAGACATGTGATGAATAGGAAAAGAAATGTACACACATGCGCTGATATAAAAACAGTCGAGGTTGATAAGTGAATAGTTAATAAAGTCAAAATGTGATTCCAGAAGAATGAATAAATTGGCCTGTCCGGAAGCATGCATGCAATATCCATAACATAGTGAACATTATTATTTTCACTATCAACCCACTCAGAAACTCTTTCGTCAATCCTACATTTATTATATCACTATTGTCTTCTATATCGAATTTTTCTGCAACTGCATCATTCTCCACTACAAGCAACTTGTGTTGATTATTTTCAACCCTGTAGAACGACTAAGAAATCTTGGTCGTAATTAAATCACTGAAGTGGTCTAGTCAAGAGCATTGTGTTTCTCTCAATTTATTATCATGTCCTCATAAAATTCCATTTGTAAATATGTAATATTCTAGACGAGTGGTGTGTACTTGTCAGTGATTATAATAATAGCGATAATAACAGTTAGAGAGATTTGGTGGATGCAAAACTCTTACAATGTCTATGATGGTTAGGTTGTGACTCAGTCAGAAACTTTTCGAACAATGATAATGTGAATGAAGCTTATTATATTAAGAACAACCATAATGTAGGTGAAAACTCATGTATAATCAATGAAATGAATATGTTCTATAACAAAGAAGCAAATAAACAAACAGACGAAGTATAATAATGGGGAGGAGATCTATTGTTTAAGAAACCAATATGGAACATGTGTCAAACGATATTCTAGGAAAGTTTGTTCAAGAGAACCACTACACAATGTGTTCTGGGAGAATTTCCGTGGATAAAATCTCTAGGATATATAAATTTATGGAAAATATGGACATATCAAATATTATTATTATATGACTTCAATGGTGTTTATCAATATTATATATCACAATATTTATCTTAATGCGAGACAGCCCCAAACATTTAGTGATATATCTTACCTGTTTTCATAGTTAGTTCTTTGTGCTTTACAAAATTCATCAGTACATGATCGTTTTACCGTAGTTTGTAGAGCTTTAAGAAAAAAGATTAATCAAATATTGTATATTAGAAATAGTAAAATATAATGAGTGATTTTGTAAATTCGCATATTCACTTATCAAGTTTAGTTAACTTACATTTATCACACTGTAAATACTGTTCATTTGATCTAGATAATGCTGCATCTTCGATACTGAATCGTCTTTTCATACCAGGAACTGTACAAATTTTAGTTCGTTTACATGTAGAATATTGATATTCTGTAAACGTAACAGGAATATTTTCCGTCATTCTAGATCCTACTAAACGACTTTTAGTCTGATTCCAGAGTTTTGTTTCTTCATGACATGAATTATTTTGAATAACAATTGGTTGATTTCTCTTTTCTGTAATCCTAACAAAAATTAAGAAATATATATGAAAAATAAATCAATGTTTATAATCAGAGAAGGGTTTTTGTGGATTATAGTAATTTAATAGTTGAATTCATGAGTCAATTGAAACTAGACCATCATGGAAAACCTGGAAGCACTGGATGGCCGTTTCGTCCTAGTATGGGACGCCTCAGCAGTGCGCATCCACGATCCTGCCTCGTGAGATTCGAACCCAGGACCTACCAGTCGCGCGAGCAAGCGCTTAAGCACTAGACCACAATGTAACAATGTATTTTAAACTTTGTTAGAAATATTCGCTGAATTACAATTTCTCTATCCTAACAGTTTGTATAACCATTACTATTTTATTGTTGTAACCATTTATTAAGTTGCATGATCTCTCAATCCACTGATATTTGTTGCATCTAGATGTTTACAATAAAATGCAGCATGGCAACATATTCTCTAATGTAGATTAACATTTAGTTAATATCATCATTAAAAGTTTAAATAACTCAGTGAACTGCATTAAACTTAACATTTATTAGGATAATTCACTATAAAACTACTTCTGCATCCATCAACATCACTAGGTGGTTAGTGTATGATAAATATACAATTATGTAATGATATATTGAATCGTGGACGCGCACTGCTGAGGAGTCACATACTAGGACGAAATGGGCCGTCCAGTGCTTCCAGGTTTTCCATGATGGTCTGACTTCAATTGACTCATGATTTCAATCTGTGAAATTTCTAATATCTCCACAAACCCCTTCTGATATATTGAATCGTTTATTAAATGAGCGATATATTTTCTTATTAGTTTTCGATTAATTGATCATTTATATTATCGATTTGATTCTTGTAAGCATTTCAACATTATTTAATGCTTTTTGGTACATAATGTCTTTCATAACATTACTTCAATATGTCCATAATATACTGAAATAACTATTGAATAGCAAACTAAGTGTATCACTAATCGGACTACTATAACTTATATTACATAACTAAGGATGAGTTACAAAACCTCAGTGATATTGAGTCACATGTCATTGTTTTAAATGAATAGGGCTCTCTATTGTATTATGCTTGGGTTACATAGTTAGCATAACTGAGGTTAGTTAGAATGCTTTGATATATTGTATTGATATATTAAAGCTAATCACTCATCAATACCGGTTCCATTAATGGTTAAATTGTAGTTTATCCTACTTCAATAGGTAAAACTTCAGAGAAAGTATAAGTACACTTACTCTTCAAATTGACATATATTATTGTCCTTTGCATTATGCAGTGGATGTTTAGCTTTTATTGGTTGTCTCATTGTTGGCATCATTCGATTCAATAAAGTTTGTCTTTTGGGTTTAAATGCATTTTGATTATTATTCTCCTCTTTTTCTAACAAACGTTCACAAGGTAAGGCTGGATATGGTTTCAACAATTCTTTTCCACTGTAATTATTAACTACCACAGCTTCATCAACAATAGTAGGACGAATTTTGTCTGTAATAATATTGGAATCATTTTCGCAGGACAAATTAAAATCGTTGACTTTTCTATACTTGAAATGTAGTAGCCCCATACATGGAGTTAGGGGATACCGACGTATTATCTGTGGTTGGTTTGTCAAATCCGTACAATTTTTTTGACTGTCAGGTACAATGCAACAATTAGCGGTTTTCTTCTCAGTACCAGTAAAAACTGTATGAATTTCAATAGTCATTTCACCTAAATATATAACGAATAAAAATTAGTAGTGGATTATTTCAATCGAATACAGAATCCGTAATCTAATTGAAAACTTTAATACACGTCTATTTGAAACTAATTTAATTTCATAAAAATGTATGATATAAAATATCTCCACAGTGAATGTAAGTGATGATTCTATGCTTGATATCATTCTTATGGCGTAAAGCAAAACTGTTCTGCATATAATATCGGTGTGACCATTGTGAAGCATCTTGAATAAAAGGAAGCTGATTATATCAATACATATATATAATACAAGTATATGGAAATATCTGAGCCTTAGAGAAGTAATGCGTACATTAACTGCCTACCACAATAATTCAGATGCTAATGAGATAAAAACTGAGAAATATTTAGTTGTTAATGCATAACAGAATTAAATAAGTCGATTACGAGAATGAAGTTTTGAATACATATATTTGTTATACTCATAGATATTGACAGACAATTAGAGGGACGAAGCGAAATGACGCTCACTGGAGAAGGCACATAAGCTAACTCGATTTAACCAAGCGTTAATCGATATTAAGTTACAGACATGTGATGAATAGGAAAAGAAATGTACACACATGCGCTGATATAAAAACAGTCGAGGTTGATAAGTGAATAGTTAATAAAGTCAAAATGTGATTCCAGAAGAATGAATAAATTGGCCTGTCCGGAAGCATGCATGCAATATCCATAACATAGTGAACATTATTATTTTCACTATCAACCCACTCAGAAACTCTTTCGTCAATCCTACATTTATTATATCACTATTGTCTTCTATATCGAATTTTTCTGCAACTGCATCATTCTCCACTACAAGCAACTTGTGTTGATTATTTTCAACCCTGTAGAACGACTAAGAAATCTTGGTCGTAATTAAATCACTGAAGTGGTCTAGTCAAGAGCATTGTGTTTCTCTCAATTTATTATCATGTCCTCATAAAATTCCATTTGTAAATATGTAATATTCTAGACGAGTGGTGTGTACTTGTCAGTGATTATAATAATAGCGATAATAACAGTTAGAGAGATTTGGTGGATGCAAAACTCTTACAATGTCTATGATGGTTAGGTTGTGACTCAGTCAGAAACTTTTCGAACAATGATAATGTGAATGAAGCTTATTATATTAAGAACAACCATAATGTAGGTGAAAACTCATGTATAATCAATGAAATGAATATGTTCTATAACAAAGAAGCAAATAAACAAACAGACGAAGTATAATAATGGGGAGGAGATCTATTGTTTAAGAAACCAATATGGAACATGTGTCAAACGATATTCTAGGAAAGTTTGTTCAAGAGAACCACTACACAATGTGTTCTGGGAGAATTTCCGTGGATAAAATCTCTAGGATATATAAATTTATGGAAAATATGGACATATCAAATATTATTATTATATGACTTCAATGGTGTTTATCAATATTATATATCACAATATTTATCTTAATGCGAGACAGCCCCAAACATTTAGTGATATATCTTACCTGTTTTCATAGTTAGTTCTTTGTGCTTTACAAAATTCATCAGTACATGATCGTTTTACCGTAGTTTGTAGAGCTTTAAGAAAAAAGATTAATCAAATATTGTATATTAGAAATAGTAAAATATAATGAGTGATTTTGTAAATTCGCATATTCACTTATCAAGTTTAGTTAACTTACATTTATCACACTGTAAATACTGTTCATTTGATCTAGATAATGCTGCATCTTCGATACTGAATCGTCTTTTCATACCAGGAACTGTACAAATTTTAGTTCGTTTACATGTAGAATATTGATATTCTGTAAACGTAACAGGAATATTTTCCGTCATTCTAGATCCTACTAAACGACTTTTAGTCTGATTCCAGAGTTTTGTTTCTTCATGACATGAATTATTTTGAATAACAATTGGTTGATTTCTCTTTTCTGTAATCCTAACAAAAATTAAGAAATATATATGAAAAATAAATCAATGTTTATAATCAGAGAAGGGTTTTTATGGATTATAGTAATTTAATAGTTGAATTCATGAGTCAATTGAAACTAGACCATCATGGAAAACCTGGAAGCACTGGATGGCCGTTTCGTCCTAGTATGGGACGCCTCAGCAGTGCGCATCCACGATCCTGCCTCGTGAGATTCGAACCCAGGACCTACCAGTCGCGCGAGCAAGCGCTTAAGCACTAGACCACAATGTAACAATGTATTTTAAACTTTGTTAGAAATATTCGCTGAATTACAATTTCTCTATCCTAACAGTTTGTATAACCATTACTATTTTATTGTTGTAACCATTTATTAAGTTGCATGATCTCTCAATCCACTGATATTTGTTGCATCTAGATGTTTACAATAAAATGCAGCATGGCAACATATTCTCTAATGTAGATTAACATTTAGTTAATATCATCATTAAAAGTTTAAATAACTCAGTGAACTGCATTAAACTTAACATTTATTAGGATAATTCACTATAAAACTACTTCTGCATCCATCAACATCACTAGGTGGTTAGTGTATGATAAATATACAATTATGTAATGATATATTGAATCGTGGACGCGCACTGCTGAGGAGTCACATACTAGGACGAAATGGGCCGTCCAGTGCTTCCAGGTTTTCCATGATGGTCTGACTTCAATTGACTCATGATTTCAATCTGTGAAATTTCTAATATCTCCACAAACCCCTTCTGATATATTGAATCGTTTATTAAATGAGCGATATATTTTCTTATTAGTTTTCGATTAATTCATCATTTATATTATCGATTTGATTCTTGTAAGCATTTCAACATTATTTAATGCTTTTTGGTACATAATGTCTTTCATAACATTACTTCAATATGTCCATAATATACTGAAATAACTATTGAATAGCAAACTAAGTGTATCACTAATCGGACTACTATAACTTATATTACATAACTAAGGATGAGTTACAAAACCTCAGTGATATTGAGTCACATGTCATTGTTTTAAATGAATAGGGCTCTCTATTGTATTATGCTTGGGTTACATAGTTAGCATAACTGAGGTTAGTTAGAATGCTTTGATATATTGTATTGATATATTAAAGCTAATCACTCATCAATACCGGTTCCATTAATGGTTAAATTGTAGTTTATCCTACTTCAATAGGTAAAACTTCAGAGAAAGTATAAGTACACTTACTCTTCAAATTGACATATATTATTGTCCTTTGCATTATGCAGTGGATGTTTAGCTTTTATTGGTTGTCTCATTGTTGGCATCATTCGATTCAATAAAGTTTGTCTTTTGGGTTTAAATGCATTTTGATTATTATTCTCCTCTTTTTCTAACAAACGTTCACAAGGTAAGGCTGGATATGGTTTCAACAATTCTTTTCCACTGTAATTATTAACTACCACAGCCTCATCAACACTAGTAGGACGAATTTTGTCTGTAATAATATTGGAATCATTTTCGCAGGACAAATTAAAATCGTTGACTTTTCTATACTTGAAATGTAGTAGCCCCATACATGGAGTTAGGGGATACCGACGTATTATCTGTGGTTGGTTTGTCAAATCCGTACAATTTTTTTGACTGTCAGGTACAATGCAACAATTAGCGGTTTTCTTCTCAGTACCAGTAAAAACTGTATGAATTTCAATAGTCATTTCACCTAAATATATAACGAATAAAAATTAGTAGTGGATTATTTCAATCGAATACAGAATCCGTAATCTAATTGAAAACTTTAATACACGTCTATTTGAAACTAATTTAATTTCATAAAAATGTATGATATAAAATATCTCCACAGTGAATGTAAGTGATGATTCTATGCTTGATATCATTCTTATGGCGTAAAGCAAAACTGTTCTGCATATAATATCGGTGTGACCATTGTGAAGCATCTTGAATAAAAGGAAGCTGATTATATCAATACATATATATAATACAAGTATATGGAAATATCTGAGCCTTAGAGAAGTAATGCGTACATTAACTGCCTACCACAATAATTCAGATGCTAATGAGATAAAAACTGAGAAATATTTAGTTGTTAATGCATAACAGAATTAAATAAGTCGATTACGAGAATGAAGTTTTGAATACATATATTTGTTATACTCATAGATATTGACAGACAATTAGAGGGACGAAGCGAAATGACGCTCACTGGAGAAGGCACATAAGCTAACTCGATTTAACCAAGCGTTAATCGATATTAAGTTACAGACATGTGATGAATAGGAAAAGAAATGTACACACATGCGCTGATATAAAAACAGTCGAGGTTGATAAGTGAATAGTTAATAAAGTCAAAATGTGATTCCAGAAGAATGAATAAATTGGCCTGTCCGGAAGCATGCATGCAATATCCATAACATAGTGAACATTATTATTTTCACTATCAACCCACTCAGAAACTCTTTCGTCAATCCTACATTTATTATATCACTATTGTCTTCTATATCGAATTTTTCTGCAACTGCATCATTCTCCACTACAAGCAACTTGTGTTGATTATTTTCAACCCTGTAGAACGACTAAGAAATCTTGGTCGTAATTAAATCACTGAAGTGGTCTAGTCAAGAGCATTGTGTTTCTCTCAATTTATTATCATGTCCTCATAAAATTCCATTTGTAAATATGTAATATTCTAGACGAGTGGTGTGTACTTGTCAGTGATTATAATAATAGCGATAATAACAGTTAGAGAGATTTGGTGGATGCAAAACTCTTACAATGTCTATGATGGTTAGGTTGTGACTCAGTCAGAAACTTTTCGAACAATGATAATGTGAATGAAGCTTATTATATTAAGAACAACCATAATGTAGGTGAAAACTCATGTATAATCAATGAAATGAATATGTTCTATAACAAAGAAGCAAATAAACAAACAGACGAAGTATAATAATGGGGAGGAGATCTATTGTTTAAGAAACCAATATGGAACATGTGTCAAACGATATTCTAGGAAAGTTTGTTCAAGAGAACCACTACACAATGTGTTCTGGGAGAATTTCCGTGGATAAAATCTCTAGGATATATAAATTTATGGAAAATATGGACATATCAAATATTATTATTATATGACTTCAATGGTGTTTATCAATATTATATATCACAATATTTATCTTAATGCGAGACAGCCCCAAACATTTAGTGATATATCTTACCTGTTTTCATAGTTAGTTCTTTGTGCTTTACAAAATTCATCAGTACATGATCGTTTTACCGTAGTTTGTAGAGCTTTAAGAAAAAAGATTAATCAAATATTGTATATTAGAAATAGTAAAATATAATGAGTGATTTTGTAAATTCGCATATTCACTTATCAAGTTTAGTTAACTTACATTTATCACACTGTAAATACTGTTCATTTGATCTAGATAATGCTGCATCTTCGATACTGAATCGTCTTTTCATACCAGGAACTGTACAAATTTTAGTTCGTTTACATGTAGAATATTGATATTCTGTAAACGTAACAGGAATATTTTCCGTCATTCTAGATCCTACTAAACGACTTTTAGTCTGATTCCAGAGTTTTGTTTCTTCATGACATGAATTATTTTGAATAACAATTGGTTGATTTCTCTTTTCTGTAATCCTAACAAAAATTAAGAAATATATATGAAAAATAAATCAATGTTTATAATCAGAGAAGGGTTTTTGTGGATTATAGTAATTTAATAGTTGAATTCATGAGTCAATTGAAACTAGACCATCATGGAAAACCTGGAAGCACTGGACGGCCGTTTCGTCCTAGTATGGGACGCCTCAGCAGTGCGCATCCACGATCCTGCCTCGTGAGATTCGAACCCAGGACCTACCAGTCGCGCGAGCAAGCGCTTAAGCACTAGACCACAATGTAACAATGTATTTTAAACTTTGTTAGAAATATTCGCTGAATTTCAATTTCTCTATCCTAACAGTTTGTATAACCATTACTATTTTATTGTTGTAACCATTTATTAAGTTGCATGATCTCTCAATCCACTGATATTTGTTGCATCTAGATGTTTACAATAAAATGCAGCATGGCAACATATTCTCTAATGTAGATTAACATTTAGTTAATATCATCATTGAAAGTTTAAATAACTCAGTGAATTGCATTAAACTTAACATTTATTAGGATAATTCACTATAAAACTACTTCTGCATCCATCAACATCACTAGGTGGTTAGTGTATGATAAATATACAATTATGTAATGATATATTGAATCGTGGACGCGCACTGCTGAGGAGTCACATACTAGGACGAAATGGGCCGTCCAGTGCTTCCAGGTTTTCCATGATGGTCTGACTTCAATTGACTCATGATTTCAATCTGTGAAATTTCTAATATCTCCACAAACCCCTTCTGATATATTGAATCGTTTATTAAATGAGCGATATATTTTCTTATTAGTTTTCGATTAATTCATCATTTATATTATCGATTTGATTCTTGTAAGCATTTCAACATTATTTAATGCTTTTTGGTACATAATGTCTTTCATAACATTACTTCAATATGTCCATAATATACTGAAATAACTATTGAATAGCAAACTAAGTGTATCACTAATCGGACTACTATAACTTATATTACATAACTAAGGATGAGTTACAAAACCTCAGTGATATTGAGTCACATGTCATTGTTTTAAATGAATAGGGCTCTCTATTGTATTATGCTTGGGTTACATAGTTAGCATAACTGAGGTTAGTTAGAATGCTTTGATATATTGTATTGATATATTAAAGCTAATCACTCATCAATACCGGTTCCATTAATGGTTAAATTGTAGTTTATCCTACTTCAATAGGTAAAACTTCAGAGAAAGTATAAGTACACTTACTCTTCAAATTGACATATATTATTGTCCTTTGCATTATGCAGTGGATGTTTAGCTTTTATTGGTTGTCTCATTGTTGGCATCATTCGATTCAATAAAGTTTGTCTTTTGGGTTTAAATGCATTTTGATTATTATTCTCCTCTTTTTCTAACAAACGTTCACAAGGTAAGGCTGGATATGGTTTCAACAATTCTTTTCCACTGTAATTATTAACTACCACAGCTTCATCAACAATAGTAGGACGAATTTTGTCTGTAATAATATTGGAATCATTTTCGCAGGACAAATTAAAATCGTTGACTTTTCTATACTTGAAATGTAGTAGCCCCATACATGGAGTTAGGGGATACCGACGTATTATCTGTGGTTGGTTTGTCAAATCCGTACAATTTTTTTGACTGTCAGGTACAATGCAACAATTAGCGGTTTTCTTCTCAGTACCAGTAAAAACTGTATGAATTTCAATAGTCATTTCACCTAAATATATAACGAATAAAAATTAGTAGTGGATTATTTCAATCGAATACAGAATCCGTAATCTAATTGAAAACTTTAATACACGTCTATTTGAAACTAATTTAATTTCATAAAAATGTATGATATAAAATATCTCCACAGTGAATGTAAGTGATGATTCTATGCTTGATATCATTCTTATGGCGTAAAGCAAAACTGTTCTGCATATAATATCGGTGTGACCATTGTGAAGCATCTTGAATAAAAGGAAGCTGATTATATCAATACATATATATAATACAAGTATATGGAAATATCTGAGCCTTAGAGAAGTAATGCGTACATTAACTGCCTACCACAATAATTCAGATGCTAATGAGATAAAAACTGAGAAATATTTAGTTGTTAATGCATAACAGAATTAAATAAGTCGATTACGAGAATGAAGTTTTGAATACATATATTTGTTATACTCATAGATATTGACAGACAATTAGAGGGACGAAGCGAAATGACGCTCACTGGAGAAGGCACATAAGCTAACTCGATTTAACCAAGCGTTAATCGATATTAAGTTACAGACATGTGATGAATAGGAAAAGAAATGTACACACATGCGCTGATATAAAAACAGTCGAGGTTGATAAGTGAATAGTTAATAAAGTCAAAATGTGATTCCAGAAGAATGAATAAATTGGCCTGTCCGGAAGCATGCATGCAATATCCATAACATAGTGAACATTATTATTTTCACTATCAACCCACTCAGAAACTCTTTCGTCAATCCTACATTTATTATATCACTATTGTCTTCTATATCGAATTTTTCTGCAACTGCATCATTCTCCACTACAAGCAACTTGTGTTGATTATTTTCAAACTTGTAGAACGACTAAAACAACTTGGTCGTAATTAAATCACTGAAGTGGTCTAGTCAAGAGCATTGTGTTTCTCTCAATTTATTATTATGTCCTCATAAAATTCCATTTTAAAATATGTAATATTCTAGACGAGTGGTGTGTACTTGTCAGTGATTATAATAATAGTGATAATAACAGTTACAGAGATTTGGTGGATGCAAAACTCTTACAATGTCTATGATGGTTAAGTTGTGACTCAGTTAGAAACTTTTCAAACAATGATAATGTGAATGAAGCTTATTATATTAAGAACAACCATAATGTAGGTCAAAACTCATGTATAATCAAACAAACAGACGAAGTATGGTAATGGGGTGGAGATCTATTGGTAACGAAACCAATATGGAACATGTGTCAAATGATATTCTAGGAAAATTTATTCAAGAGAACGACTACATAAAGTGTGATAATCCTTATAATGTGTTGAGTTGTTCGTTCTCTTAGATAGGGATTGCTTCGGTCGTTTCCGCACAAGTTAAAATAGTTCATTTCTCAATATATTACAAAAAAATAAGTTAATTTTGTGAAAAATCGATTCTGTCATCAGCGCTTAATACGTGCCAATAATGTGCTTTGGAGGAATGTTTGTGGATAAATTCCCCATATGAAGAAAGATCAACTACCTAATTTGTGATGATGAAATCAACACTACGACTACTTCATCCCTCCATATGTTCAATCAACTGACCAAGCAATTAATCGTTCTTTTTTTATTTGGGCTATTATTAGTTAACATGTTCGGTTTCAAGATTCGAAGGCAGGACATTTATCGTTGACAATCTTTGTGATTCCTGTTAACCAAATGTTTAACTAGAAAATCACAGTAACTGGTTAACTGATTTTTATCTAATCTATCAGTCTATGTCCAAATATTTGCTGAAACTAGCTGCCTCAATAGTGTCGAATGAGTGAAGTACCTAAATGTTTGTTAACATTTCACTCTTTCTGTCAATGTGTAATAGAATTAGCTGGTCCAATGAATTATGCTTATCAATTTACTTAAGTTAAATAAGATCCTGCAGTTAAATAAAATACAAAACATATTTTCACAGTTTATAATATACCAATCATTTCAGTGAATTGAGGACATAATTGATAATATATTCCTCGATGAATGACCTTAAGGCAGCATTCGACTCTGTTGATCGTGAGGTTCTATGGCGGTGTTTGTCACTGAAAGGCGTACCAAAGAAGTACATTGACCTTATCAAAGCTCTCTACTCGAACACAACTAGTAGGGTTAGAGCTTATGGCGAACTGTCATCAGAATTGATTACCTCAAGTGGTGTTCGTCAGGGCTGCCCACTCTCCCCATTCCTGTTTAACTTTGTCATTGACGTACTTTTAGAGATAACACTTTCCTCATCTAAATTCCCAGTGGTTGAACTTCTACCAGGAGATTCACTTGTTGACTTGGAATATGCCGATGACATAGTCCCATTTAGTGAAGATGGCTGGGACACGTGTTATGTATGCCCAACGACCGACTGCCTCGACGTGCGATGTTCAGTTGTATAAGAGTAGGTTGGAACAAAACTCGGGGCGGCCAGACCAAAACATGGCACAAGTCCATGAAGTCACTGACAAGTGGATTGAGCCATGTTGGTAGGTGTAGACCACCTGGTTGGGGACCGCGAGATGATAGTAATCGATGGCTAGAGGCCCTGAATTAAATAGCTCAAAATCGTTTGCAATGGCGCAGGTGCATCCACTCTTTGTGTTCTCCCAAATTCTAATCTTCTGAATTCTTTAGGTCGTTTATTTTCTTTCCAAATTTATTTAACTGAATTATACTCTTTAAATAACATCTCCAAACCCTAATCTTTCCGATTACTGCTTATACTCTTACTACCTCTACTACTATGGGATTTGAATCGACAACTGTATCTCTGTGCTAATGTGGTGTGGCAACTCGAACTGATGTACGTACGTACGAAGTTCTACGTTGTTACTGACTGACCTCGATGAATTCCTCAAACAAATCCTTCAATACAATGAATAGATGAACGAACGTCAATTCGACCATAGGAAATGATAAACAGAGAGTGAAATAAAAGTATACAATTATTTATTAGACCGGATCATGTATTGAATGAGGAATATTTGTGTACAATCAATTACTACCATACATTGTATGTAATTTAATTTAGTTAGGAAATGAATGGATGAATGTCGAATATCTAAATACCACCATGGTTCAATAATATGTATAATCCTTTGATAATTAAAAGTGGAAAACTTATTGTTGTTCACCAAATGGACATTTGATTGTTACGGGAATGCAATTACTTTGAAATGGGATTTCATACTGAAATCCACTGAAAGTACAAAAAACGGATTATTAGAATCGTTCTATGATCTATAAATAATTGGAAGAGTAAATGATTCAAGTGTAGATACATTTACTAAAACTATGGACATTTTGAATATTAGGTGACTTTCATACTAATTTTAATAGTTGGAAGCACTGGACGACCGTTTCGTCCTATTACTGAGCTCCTCATCATTGCGCATCCACGATCCTGCCTCACAAGATTCGAACCCAGGACCTATCAGTCTCGCGAGAGAACGCTTAAACTCTAGACAACTGAGCCGGCCGGCATCCAACGGTGTTAATGTCTAACTAAACCATGAAATAGAGCGACACATCCGCCATTGTCATCAGTAAGTTACTATCTCAAAACGGACCCGGTTGAACTCCACTAGTCACTACTTCTCACTAGAACTCCAGGAAAAACCTATTGAAGCCAGTCCCTAGTGAGCATATGTTGATTAGTAGGACGAAACGGCCATCCAGTGCTTCCAGATTTTCTATGGTGGTCTAGCTTCAATTGACTCATGATCTCAACTATTAAATTTACTATATTATCGGCGAAACCTCTTGTGATTTTATACTGATGTTTATTACTATTATTATTAGAAATCACTTATATCTTTTTATAAGTGATATTTCAAAACATTTTGTGAGACGTCATACATGTTTTTATACTTCAGTCATGTTACCGAACGGGATTCAACAAATTATTATCAATTTCATGCTATCCGCAGAGATATAAGAAATGAATGATAATAATCGTTTGAAACAAAGAAATATACAAATGTTATTAATAATTTGTACATTCACTTTGTAACGTCAGAAAGCAAGGAAAATTATTTTTGGAATCCCACGAGTGGGACCATGGATACGCACTTCTGAAGAGTCCCATGATAGGATGAAACGACCTTCCAATGCCTCCAGGTATTCAGTGGTTGTCTAGCATCAATCGGTCCATGATATCAATAAAATATGATTTTCGTATTAATCTAATACTAATTGTCATTATCGTCATAAAACTTGAAGAATACATGAAAAGCTTTGGATGACAAAGATGTCATGTCAAACATTGATTAGAATATAATTATTCCATTGGTAATTCCATCATTGATAGAAATTGTATTCAGACTAAGTAATCACTGATGCCTTGATAGATTTTAGCTAAGGATAAATAAAATCGATTGATATCACTATATATTCTATGAAATGCGTGGTGATTAAATATTTTAGCTTTCGAAACAATCTTCACTATGTTTTAGCATACAATTAAGAAGGTTAACGCATATTTGGAGACATATTTTCCTTGCAATACTTGTGCATTAAAAGTTACAGGTAATTTTATGTCTAACTGTATACAAGTTAAACCAATTAGTAGATAAGAGAATTCAATTTCAGTTACTTGAACTTTCAGTTACGATGACGACACTAGTGCACTATTTCCACATTCCGTACAATTGAATAACACCTACTTTAATACACCTATGTAATAATCAAAATTAATAAACTAAATAACTTTATATCTTGATATAGTCAATTATATATTCATTTCTTATATGCCAGTATTCGAAAATTACATATGATTAAACATGCAGTAATCAGATTAATATATTTTGATATTAGTGGTAATTGATATCACACAGAGAGTAACAAAACATGCGAAACTGGAGTTATGCCTTACTAACTAGTATAGGACTGTTATGCCCCGATAAGAATAATCAGTGGTAATTTTTGGGATCCATTTGTAGAACGATACCATACGTATATTTTACCGTATAATTGTTA